TCACCGTCTCCTGCTTTCTAAGCCAACACCTTAACCACTACACCAAACTGGCTCTCTTAATGCTTCATGTAGCCAAGAAAATAATTTTCCTTTCTACTTACTCACTTTAACTCTCCACCTGATGGTTTCTTTGTTTTGCTTTGCTCTGTGGCCATCCTTCTCCCTTCCCCATAGGGTCAATTGATCTGGTTCCCTCTCCCTAGATCCACCCCTTGCTGGCTACACATGAAACCCCCCATTCTTAGCTTCAGTTGGGAGAAATCAGCTGCTCTCCATTTCTTTATGACAGCTTCTGCAACAGCAAACAGTTCCAAAGAGCTGAAAATCTGAACTGTCAACAGAGTTGGGGAAGAAACCCACTTGGGTTGCTCAGCTTTGCTTACTGCTACAGCTCCCTGCTGGGTTAGCAAAGCAATCCAGTTATAACAAATCCTTAAGAGCAAAGTCATTAGGGTAAAAGAAAAAACAAAAGCTGGTTTATACAAACTGATTGAAGTTAGGCTCTTTCTCCCTGCCCCCCTCCTTCTATAAAAACTTCTCATTGAAAAAGGGGAGTGCAGGCGCCAGCTTCCTTCGGTAATTTTTGAAAGGAGATTGCTTTCTTTCATCTTCTTTTTAAAGGGGTGGGGCTGTTGATGCTGTGTTTGTACAAGATCTGGAAGACTTTTCAAGTGAAGTGAGATGTTGCCCCTTTGATGTCAGAAGACTTGGTGCCCTATTTAGCACACAGTGGGAGTTTAGAGGAGAAGCACTGGAGATTCTTCCAATTATGTGGATTTGTGTCCTAGCCTCTAAATTTCATTCTCTCTGTGTGTAAAAAATAATATGCATGTCAGCAGATGGAAGTAAAGATGACTTTAATTTGGTATTGGAAGATAAGTATGGTTTGGGCCTGGCTGGTATTTGGATGGGAGAACCAGGAAACCCTACAACTAGACCGGGCATTAAAAGAAAAAGACCCTTTTAGGATTTATTCCTGTCTATGGTAGTAGGAAGTCATAGCAAGCAGAACATGTGCTGCTCAGTGCCATTAAGGATAGGCGATGTGATGCCCTGCAGATCTGTTGAACGATGACTTCCACAAGCCCCAGCCATTACAGACATAAGTCAGGACTTTAGGGAATCTGAGTCCAAAACATTTGGTAGGCATAGAGTCATCTGTCCTTTAACTACACCTAATAGAACATCTGCTTTGCCAAAGATTTCAGGTTCAGTGTCCAAGATCTTCAGATAAGGTTGGAAATGTATGTGATCTGAAACTCTAGTGCGTTCCTGATCATAGGCTTTGGCAATGCTGAACTGGATTGGCCAGTGGCTTGACTTGGTGTAAGGAAGCTTCAACGTTCTCCTATGTCAAGGATCTACCACCTTTTTTTGAAGGGAGGGCCTCATTCAGGGCATTTGTGAAGTTGCTGCATATCTCTAGAGCTTTGCATGTCTGCAGAGCAAGGTTGAGTAGGGGTGATCAAAGTTAACTAATGATTGGGCCTGGGCAAATTTTACAGAATTCACCCCACAGAAATGTGCAAGTGCAGATGTTACTCTTATTGGCCCAAATTGAACAAAGGTGGCTAAGCTGACTTTTAGGGCACTGCTTCGTGGTGTTGTTTTGAATGCAGATTTTGGTGACTCATACACCAGAGTGCTAAGTCTCTCTCTAATTACATTGTGTAATTCTAGTCTTTTTTAGAATTTAATCAGATAGCCATCCAGATCTGTGTTGCGTCCTGCGACTCAGAGATCTGTCCATCTTGCCATGCCTCCTTTGTCCTGATAGGACAATAGCCCTTCTGGGCACTTACTGGTTGCCAGTCTTTACTGTTGTGCTCCTAAGCTTTAAATACCTTATTTGGGGGGAACCCTCCCCCAATGATTATTAATTGGGAGTATTTTATGTGATACATTGAAATGCAAAGCTTGTGCCCTGCTGCCCTTGGGGAAGAAAAGAAACAAAGAAAGTGAGAGAAATAGATCTTATGCATCAATAACTGAGTTTTATTTTCTACATGGAATTTTCTACCTCTTTTTTTTTTGGCCTGCCATAGAGCAGTTTTTAAACTCTGCCTAAACCTCAGCTGGAGTCTGGAGCCAGACCTGGGAAACTGTATTTATGTGTTGTAACTGTAAGATTTGTTTTCATATAAAGGTAAATTGGATGATGTTTATCTGTTACTTGAACAATAATGTCCTATGGGTAAAATGAGTACTCCTAATTGTACAGAACATTTTTTTTTAAAAAAAGCAGGACTTTGCTGTTTAATTTTCTTGAAGAATTACTCTTCCACTTGTTATATATTAGCATCTGCTGAGTGCAGATGTAGAAGACAAAGAGCGGGCTGCAGCTTTTCTTTTTCAGTGCCTTCGGTTTGAGAAATGCTTCATCCAGCTTGAGCTGTCTTGTACTCAAGTGGTGTAGAATAAGGCAGATGTGGTACCAAGTGGCCTGTTGAATTCTTAAAAGGCAACCTACGCCTCTTCCCCCATCCTCCCTCCAGCCAAATTCTGGTGACATGCACTCAGACAAGATTTTGACAGTTTTGTGTGAAATCGTATGAGATTTCAGGGATTTTGCAAGAAATCTTTTTGAAATGTCCGTAGATCTGAGGAAAGTAACTTGGACATCACTAACGAGTTAGTCTCTTAGCTCTAAAAGACAGCCTACTTGCAATTCTCCCTACTCCTGTTCTCTTGCTGTTGAGCACTTAATTACAGTTGCTTTCTGTCTCTCTCTCTCTGTCCTGCTGAAAGTTACGTAAGTGATTAAGCAGTAGCACCAGTTCTGGGTTAGTGAGAAAACAGATCAAGCAAGGAACAATGGGATAAGGTCCTGGCAGCACGGAAGGTCACTCTGGGTCCCCAAAGGAGGCTTAGTCCCCTGTTGGAATGTGACAATTCCAATCTTGGTGCCAGTTTGGAGGAAACAGTTGAGCTGCATCTAGCTGTCTACACCTGCTAAGACATCTTCCTCCCAAAGCCCTGCTTTACTGCACAGTGTTGCTTTCTCCTAGTAGTAGTTGATGCAGGAGCAGCAAGTGGCTGGCAACAGAGTGCTGTGAATTAGCCCATTTTCGGATCAATTGATATTTGAATGCCTTTCAACTGTCGGTATCTTTGATCAGGGCAAGGCTTGTGGTTGCCCTAAAATGCAAGATAGAGACTCAAGGTTCAGAGAAGAGGTTTCAGTTGAACAGTGCCTGCATTGTAGTTAGTTTCATCCTTTCCCGTCCCCACCTCCTTTTCCACAACAGTTATTTTTGGGATGAGGGGGAAGGGAGAGGAGTCTTTTATATGCCTCTAAATGTAGGGCAGGCGCCAAGTCTGAAGGATGATGCTGATTGAGGTCATGCGTGATGCTGAACCCTGCTGTTTGAACGTCTGTGATGAGAAATGTGTTGATCCTGCAGCCCTTATGCAGGCAACTCCTACTGATTTCAAGGGGAGATTGACCAGCATCAGGACAGGAAACAAGGAAGGCAACTGAAGCTGGCTCGGCAGCTTGATACCCTCCTACTGGGAAAGTGATGTAATCTTATTGTTATTTTTCTCCCCTCATTCTCTAAAGCACCATCCGTAACTCCTGGTTGGTCTTGGGATCTTTGGGCCCAACTGGAGGAAAAATCTGGCACATCTGAAAAGCATGGATACACTTTGTGCATCTTAGTCTTTCAACTAAAGGGCAAGGTCTGCTTGCATTGGTTATCAGTGGTATGAAAGCTGCAGAGAATTTAGTGGGGTGGGAGACCATAACATGGACAATATATATTACTGTCAATGTTGTCATTTATTTGATTGTTATATATGTAATTTGCCCCAGAAATAAAGCTTTTCTGGGCAGATTACAGTATTAATTCAAACATTAAAAGTTCTAAAAGCATCCAAAATGGTAAAAAAATCCAGTAGAATTAAACATGACTGATAAAAAGCATAGGAATGTAAAATCCATTATTCGAGGGTAAAGCTTATATAGCAGATTGGGGGAGTGGGGGTGGGATGGAAATAGAAATGGAAATGATGAGTGTTGGGGATGTGCAACGGGGAACCTGAATCTTAGGAACATAGATTTGGATTCATGGATTATACTAAACCATGGTTTCTTGAAGAAGCTGCAACTGGCAGCCTTTACTTATGCTAAGCTATGAGCTCTTGATAGTCACAGGTTCATGAAGTCTACTAAGTCAAGGATAAATCATTTTTTGTCAAAGGAAATTTATAAGGTCATGAAGTCCGTTTACTTTTAGAAGTAAACGGAAGGAATATAAGGTTGGTTTGTTTGACCAAGGTTAAAATAAGGTGTGTTCCTATAAAGCTTTCGTAACCAACCCTTTATGGACTTTTTGCGGACTGAAAAGTTGATGATTTATAGATTTGCATATAGATAGGAGATGGGTTATGGGAAGAAGAGATATCTGTTTGTAACCTTATAGGAGGTAAAGAGTTACCAAATTTGTTTATACTTGTGATGAAGGTCGAAAGTCACTTCTTTATATATTTCTTTTTCTTTTTCTTCTTTTTCCTTCTTTGCACTTTTTTTTCTCTCTCTTTCTCTTTCTGAGTTTAGTTTGTATTTGCTTTTACTTTTGTAATAAAGATTTGCAATAAAAATTATAGAGCAAAAAATAAAAATAAAGTCATACTGCCCATTCCTTTCCCCTCTGCAAGGAAAGACCATCTGTAGACCTGGGCTCCCTTTATGTGGCCCTCAGTATATCCTCCAATCATGATTGCTGAAGATTAACGGCACACTTTTTGGCC